AGGGTCATTTCAGATTGTTCTTTATATCTTAGATTGTCAGTATTTTCCCTTTTGAATACATATTCTTTATTCATGTTGTTTTGTTGTATGGTTTTCCAATTTGACTGCCATTTCTACGTGTCTAGTACACATGTTTGGGTGGTGTTGTGACCCCTAGGCCGTCTCCCTTAATGAGGTCACTTCGCAGTTATCCGCGGAGTATTCTTAATTAGGTGTGAATCGTACCATTCTTTACTGACCCAGTCGCCTCCAGCCGCAGGTCCATCTCAGCGGAGAACTTGTTCTATTATATGGCGCTTCAGATTTCTTAGCGCATGACGATTCGCGTCCAAACAAGACGATGGAGTGTTGGGTCTCTAAACGTTGTCCTGCATGTCATGTCCAGTTCTTTTCAGTTTTTTCCCGTTTTTTAGAAGATTTGATTTTATATGGCTGCCATTTGGGAATGAATATGTCATATAATTAACCACCTAGCCTATAATAGAGCTAGTCTTCAATGACTAAATTCTGTATCTGAAATAGCGGCTTAGTGGAACAATATTAAAGGCATATCCCAGATTCATATCTATTTTTTTATTATCTTATTATGGTGTGGTCCTCGCGCACAAATACGAATGTATTGGTGCGAGATGGACCGGCAGCAAAGAATTGAAGGAAAGAACTCGTCGAAAACACCTAGGAAGTGTCGCCGTCGGTGCGGCAAGCCTGGGGCAAGATGACGTACAAGTGGCTTGCAGCCCGGTGCCGTGATTTTAGATGATGTACGGAGGGACACGCGCCTAGCTCTGCCTGCCACGGTACCTGCGGTCCTCATCCTCCGTTGCCCCTGATTGCGCCTTCCTATAGACCACTGCGCTTGAGAGAAGATGACAACTGCGCTAAAACCCTTCTCCACTTTCCCGTGGTGTTTCCTGTCCACTGCGCTGTAACCACTTATGCCCATATTGATTATAGTGTTGATATTGTTATCGATGGCAGCGGTAATCAATAAATATAAACCACTATGACAGAAGAGCACATGTAAAAAGAAAGGTATTGAAACGTGCGCTTACTACTGCGCTTACTCTTGCTACACAACAAAACACAAAGTAAAAGAATTGGGCTTTATGCCATACTGACAATCTGCGAAACCTACGACCTTAAACCTACGGGATGGTCCTCACCTTAGGGGTCGTCGGTGCCTCTAGCCCCCTCGTCCATACACGACGCGTTAGCCGGGGTGCGTTCGTCACGTCCGGGCGCGAGGTAGCGGGACGAGGGTTCCTGCCCTCCATTCCAGATGGTCCTCGTCCAGGATGTCCAACCGTCCAGTGCGCTGCGCCCCAAGGGTCGTCCGGGGGACGGACGACGGCGCTCGTATGACGTCGTGCGAATACCATGACGTCCTCGATCTTCTGCGCAGTAGTGACAGCTGCGCGTGAGTAGAGACGAATGCAATACGAAGGGAATGGATGACGAGGGACGGCGATAGCCGACGAATGTGATGATCGAAGAGGGACGGCGACCGGAGAAGAAGGCGAGACGACGAACGAAGGCAGAAGAATGACGCCGAAACTTCTAGGCCCAAAAGTGGCGTGGGCCAATCCTTCCCTGCGCGTCGACTTGTGCGCGTTGAGACCCAGTGCGGACTCTGACGACCCGGCCTTTAAGGATGGCTTGCGGACCGGCTCTGCGTCGAGTAAGGTGTAAGAGCCGTGACGACGTACACTGTACAAAGAGGTCGTACGAAAGTCACGACAGGAAGAGCTTACCCACTTTTCCGATAGGCTGTGCTAAGGCAATGAAAGACTAAGCGCTGAGAGGAGAGTATGAGGCAACAGACTGAAGGAAATCGTTCACACCACTTTTGAATGGGTTGTACCTTTAGGGCCAAACCCGGGATTAGCCCGACTTGTGGGAAGGATACCGCGAGGAAAATTGTAAGGTCCTACCTACCTAGATCACTCCAGCTTCGCCGCAAAAGTTGCGCGGTTAGGGCGCTAGTCCTTACGGGCCTGCAAGGCTAAGGCCTTGATTTCAGCGATCCCAAAGATTTCTCTAGCTTTCCTTCCACTTTCAGG